GCATGATACAAATGCTTATAGCGATTACAAAGATGACAAAGTCGTTGAAAAATTATTTTAATTGTTAATTATTATAATTAATTTGTGAAAGAATTGAAATATAATATAATAATTCGTCCCACATTAGAATAATAATTAACTGAACGAGAGAGAAAAGAGCCGTCAAATGCAAATAAAAATATTTAAGTGAAAAACTTAATAGAAATTTATTGAAAATATTGATGCGAGAAACAACAGAATTTCATTGAAAATATAATAAATTAAATTTATTTCCGCTTTTGCGTTGTAACTATATTAAAAATGCTACGCTTAATCGGGCAATGGAAATTAAAACAATTAACGTCCCCACTAATCGGCTTTGGGACTATCTGAGCAAACGTTTATTATTCCGATTCGAATAATACAAAATTATTTTATAACGTTTAAATCTCTTAAGAACTCAAGCATTCAGAACGAAAGCACAAGCCCGCAAAGATGTTCTTGGTAACTTCACTTATGTAGGCCTGGTTTTTCATTTGCTGGTTAAATATTAACCAGAGGCTAGTCGATTACCTGTCTCTTCTTAGATAATAATATACATAGAAAAAGATGGGGAGTCGACTAACTACTGGTTAACAGTTAACCAGAAAATTAAAAACCTTAACAACAATACATGGCAATCGATGATTTATCAAGACATTTTCCGTTTTTGGCGCTTTAATGCGATTGAAAGATCAACAAGAAGAAAATACCCTAAATTCCGCAAACGAGAGCACCTCGGGGAAAAATATAAATATTAAAGGCACGTAAGAAAAGACTTTAGTTACGTACAGCACGCCAAGACGCCTTAGAGGCAAAAACACGGACCGACATCTCGAGAAAATTACGGTGCTGCATACATAAAATATGGACTGTCAGGAATTAGAGTACACATTATAAACAACTTGGCATAAATTAACTCCCGTGCATAAACAGGAAAGCATAATCAGAGCACAAGCGATTCGTCCTATGAAAATAAATCAAGAGCTGCTACTTGATTATTGCGCATATAAAAAGATGTACGGACCAGTTTGCTGCACATATTATAATATGTCGCTTATACTTTTTATTTATAAACATTTTTTAATGGTCAATGAAGAAGCTAATCAACTTTGATTAGCTGATACTTAAGTAAGTCATATTGAAACATTTTTTTATACAGCAACTTGCATTGTAATTTGAAAATTTGCAGGCCAAACCGATCTCCTTTATCTCAAATATTTTGCGTTACGTTGTTATATTAATGTAATATGGCAGCTCATTCAATATATGTATAATAGAATTTGATTCAATTTATTAAATTGTGTTCACCCTCGTCCTTCGAGATGTTAAAGATGGTGGAGAAAGTGTGTGGGGTAGAAATGTATCCGATGTATTTCAGACGACGGTACATAAATATGAAAGAGAAACAGTGAGGAAGATACACACACACGTAAATGTAATTCGCTAAGTAAAAGGCATAACAAAAGCAAAAACATAAACTCGAGAAAATTACGTAGGTAAATGCATTATGGTATATGCTGGGTAACTTCACAATATCCTGTAGAAATAGATATTAAAATAAATATTATAATAAGTAAAAAGTATTATACTTGTAATGAAAATTAATATTAGCTACAAATCAGTAAAAACATAAAAGAAAGATACAAAAAAGTCGCATATAATTATTTTCAAAAGAAAGGAATCTACGCTAATGCTAACAAGACCCCACATATACATGAGCTTTTCTTTCCGATAAACCTTGAACTTGTGCAATATAGAATAATGAAAATTATACAACTCTGTTTTTTATAAAATGTTCAAAACAAAAAATAAAAGCATTTATAAAAACTCCACTTATTTTAATAAATGCTCTTATACGCGTACATTAAATACGTTTATTACAGCTTTTATGCTTTTAGGATCGTTGAAACGCTAGAATACTATATTAGGACGATTAAATACATAAATTTAAACAAAAGTTTCGCTTTCAAAATCACGTTTATCGGTGCGTTTACATTTTTTACATTATTATATTTTTCATTTATCCTACTAGTCTTTTTCAGAATTTTTTGTACATTGCTAGATTTATTTTTAAATTATGTTTAATTTTCATGCCTCAGTGGTCGAATTGGTGAAACGCCCGCCTAGAGTGTAGGGAAGTCCAGGTTCAAATTCTGGCGGAGGTAATATTTTTCGCACTAAATTTCTTTAATTAGAATTTGCCAGTTAGCGTCGTTTAGTAATTTTTCTACATTGGTTAATCATATACTGGCGTCAAATCATTCTTTATGATCTTTAATTTTGTTATAAAAATTTTTGTTCTCAGAAACAACAGAGAGTACCGCAACAGTTATAATATAATATATATATTTATTATATATTATATTTATTATATATAATATAGATATTTATATATTTTTTAAAGATATCCTAATTACGATTAAAAATGCTCCACTATTTGACGTGGAATATTTTTCTAGCTCAAGCGTTTATTCCAGACAGGATATTGGTATATAAAAAATTCCGCTCGAATAGATAGGTTCATCTTTTACTTTTTAATCTAGTTGTGTTTTGAGCTTACTTCGTTTTCGTTGCACGCACGTAAAGATTTCCATACTAACTTTGTGAAATATTGCTCGCTCCAGGCAATATCTGTTGGCATAAAACAACTATTAACATTGATATAATATAAAACTTTATATAGGAAATGCTCTTAGTAAATGAAATATTTGGATTTGGATAAATAAATATTTCTGTTTTATTGCAAAAAATTCTTTCTCCCGTTCGTACTGATTTTTTTTTATTCGTTTCAGTACACAACGAAATATAAATATCAATATTCTATAGTATATAATTCTCGGTGCCTATTCTTGAAATAATGCTTGAAATGCATTGTTTAGTGTATCATTAGTCCATTGATATAATTAAATTTACATTAACAATTTAAATTGAAGTAAATGTCAAAAATTTCTTTAAACCGTAGCTTATAAAATTACATAATTATAAAAAATTGCGGCAAGTCACAATTTAATTTGCAAGACGTGAGACTTGATAATTGAGACTGACAGTTGAGACTTAATATTTGGAAGCTATTGCTCGGGATGTCTCGAATCGTTTGCAAGCGCACACCGAATGCTATAGTTAAAAGAACACTGAGTAAAGAGGTGACCCACAACAGTGCGTGTTGCGAAAGCATAAATGTCGAAAGCATCCTGAGGGAAAGGGTGGTGAAACCGCGCAGCACCGACGCGTACGACGTCGAAAAAAGACCAGGGAAATCCCGAGGAAATTAGATAGCCTCGCGCATAAGAGATGCGCGCCGGAAAAAGCCGAATCTAAATGCAAATATGCGGCTGGCTGGTGCGCGTGCATCGAGCGCGAGCGCGTCGCATCGAGAGCGTATTTCGCGAAATTCCCGCAACACAACAACGGGAAAGTATTTTTCGCGCTATCGATCCCTTCTCGCCTGCCGCTTAATAAAATCTAAATAAAAGTACCTGTCGCCGGGGGGACGGCTCGCACGAGAATGCTTAAAAATTGTGGTCCCCGGGTTAGGGCGCGATAGACAAGCTACGCGGGGAATGCCTAGAAAATGTGTGCAGACGTGCGTGAACTGTCGAGGCCGCTAGGCGGGCGTTACAAGCGGCGGAAAAGAGAGCTTTCGCCGTTATGTTCGCAGATGTGCTCTTATCAGCAAATGGACAAAAGCATCGCGGCATTTTTCGCATACGATGGCTCTTCACCGCTCCTCTTCTTTTCACAGAGAGCTAAGGTATACGGTACGTACATGTGGCTGCGCACAGGAAAGCTCGCGCGTATTTCTCATATACGCTTGTGCACGCATTGTGCGTCGCACCGTACATATTTACTTCGCATAATACGTGAGAATAAATACGTAAAGATGATAGGAGAAAAATGTGGGGGGAATATCGATAAACAAAATTCTGAGCTGTTACTTGGATTTTTTCTTCTTTGGAAGAAATAATATCTTTCATTACCCGCTTACTTTTTATGTCTACACGGATAAAAATAATGTTGTATCGACAAGATCAGTGTAATTGAAATAAAATTGTTGAAACAACGTCAGTATTAATGAATGAAAAACATTAGATAGTTCTCTTAATAATCTGGACATTTAGTTCAATGCTTAAAATTAAAATTCATAGCAAATACAGTTGAATGAAGTACTTTTGTTTGTGGCAACGCGTGACGTTAATTCAAGCAACTTCATCTTTTCTAATTCAACAGCATTTCTTTTCCGTGTACGATAGGCGGTGTCTACAATGAGATCTTTAAGACGTAAGAAAGTGACCTAGCGCATTCGAATGTGAGGAGAATAGTCGACTGCGACTGGTCATTTTCTTAAATCTTACGTCCTAAAAATCTCATTGTAGACGCCGCATATAAACAGACATTGAGAATTCTGAAAAAAATACAGGTATAATCAAAATTAAAAAAGGGCAGTGAGAGTCGAATAATGTAATATTTTATAGAATAATATAATTCAGGCAGGACATTATAATACAAATCACTCGTGATCATAAAAGTTACGAGTACGCGAGTATTGCGACTTTGTGGTAAAGTTTTATGCTTACCGACGACCTCAAGGAGCAGAAATATACTCGTGGGCGGATGAGTGGACACTTGGCACTCGTACAGACCGGCATCCCTCGGCTGGACGTATTTTATTTGAAGCGTCCAATCCTCGCTGTGGTGGAAATGCTTTGCCTGAAACCGTTCGTCGTTGGCGTATGTCGTGAGTCCTACGGTCAGTAGCTCGTGTAACTGTACGTTCTTCCTCTTGATCCACGACACCTGCGAGCAGCCGACAAAGAAGATTTATTGAGAAACGTAATTCAATATCTCCCAGTCACATTGTTCACGAAAGCAGAGAGAAAACTATGTTTAATTGGGTGGATTTCACTTTGCATCTATGGTTTTTCGGCCATCGAGTAAAGTTTCTACTTACAATTAGATCTTACGCGAATCTCTTATTCTACAGGTAACGATCTTCACCTTCATAATCTCAATGTTCATATAGAATTTTAACATTTGTATTAAGTGTTTAATGTAATGATTGTATGCGTATGAAAGAGATTATTCGATCCAATACCGTAAAATAAAATATTTCAGTAATTTGAGGAACGAAAGTTGGCAAAACTAAATTTGCAACACTATATATGGAAGGTTCATATTGAATTCATATATTGATAAAAAGTTAGCTTCGATTTGTCCACGAGAGTGCTTGTAATTTAATACAATAAAGCGAAACAGGCCATAAAAAAATAGAATGAAAAAAATGAAAACACTATACACGTTACAATTAATCTCGCGTATCATTTTTAGCCATTCAACGCGGATGGTTATGTTCATCACATCTCCATTCGCTTTCGTAGGTATATAATAAAATTGAATATTTCGCTACGTTTTCATATGATACGGTAATTGGAATACAGACTGGCAACGCATCTGTCGCAATTGTTAGTCATAACAGTCGGTGACTACCGTCCGTATATAATGAACAGTAATCACTGCCCGTTCATAACGGTTAGAAACTACTGTCCGACATAGCGATCCGCAACTACTGATACGCGTCCACAGAATACAAACAGTAACTGCTGCGCGTAACTACTGCTCGCCGTGCAGTCCACAGTTCTCGTTATAACATTAATTGCTCGTGTCTTAATTCTGCATACGTAGCTATTTGACAACGTTAATCCTGCAAACAAAAGACGTTACGTATGTCCCACGAGCTTTGAAGTATTTCGCGCGATTTAGTGCCTGTGTCCCTTGTAAAAAAATGTGGGGAGCAAAAAATATATGGGGTGTAAGTCGGTATCATCTTTTTTCCCCTCTGTTCCATGCCGACGCTAAGTAATATTCCAGTACTTGCAAATTTTATCGCGGTTAAATTATAATAGTTACCATAATGCATATATAATTTCGAAAGTACAACTTCCTTATTTCCCCGTATATGACTTGCAGATTTACACGCAAATAAAACCTTCATATTTTTAAACGCGATCAAGTTTGCAAATATTGCTTTTACGAAAACAGTGTGTAAACTTGCGCTACAAAATAATATTGAAGTATTATATTTGCTGTTCTAATAAATATCTTGGTAATATTTTCATGCCGTTACAATACACATCGTATGCATTGCCGGCTCATTTTTGCAAATGAGTTTCCGTTTCATTATAAAGAATCGTCATTATAAGTACGTCTTTGTATTTCAGTAAGCAACATACAGTACCGGCCAGAATTGTATCACTTCTCGATTTTTAGAGCATAACTTTCGTCAAAGTGCATCGAATGTGTTCAGAATTTTACAGTAGACACTTGATAACATGTGCATCTTGTACAGTCTTATTCATTAATACCTGGACCTGCATTTTTATCATCATTTTTCTCATCTATACATCTATACAAATCACTGAATTTCAAGCTGTATGTATGTAGTATCACAGTATGTGTGAACTACACGGAGAGAATTATATATATACATATTCGTGCAATTGTACACATAAATTTATATAGAGTTATAACAACTTGATTAATCAATAATAAATCATGAATAAATGATGACATTAATAAATCTAATTATTTATAATTATATGTAATGTGATATAATTACGTACAATTACATCTAAATTTCTGTCCCCGGGCATTTCTTCTGCAAAATCCACAGTTCTCTACATCTCGAAACTTCTAAAAGTCAATCAGCGTATTATCACCGAAAACAGTTATAAATATAGCGCTGAATAATTCAATGCTGTACTTACAACTGCAAATCAGTGAGTATTCACTGTTTTCAGTGATAATCCACCGATTGACTTTTACAGAGTTCTTTACGTCAATTATTTCGTCGCCGTAAAATCCGCACTTCCGCGCTAACACGGTAGCTTTGTCGTACGATATCGGCTTAGGAGCTTAAACAATGAATATTCCCATTTACCCGGCCTTCATCACACTGCGGTTAATTACGAGGGTTTCGCACGAAGCGCGAGAGGTGCACACCTATTCACCTGCGCCAAATTAGGCGTTGCAAAGTTTGTGACGTCAACGAAGCACTCAATGCCGGCAACTATTAGTACGTACCGGATGCTCATAACGGACAGTAACTAAAACTTGCGACGGCCAGTAACTGCGACAAATATACACATACGCGCGGGACGGTCAGTAACTACGGGCACGTCAATAACGTTCGGCAACTATCGTACGTACTTCCGCCCGACTCGGACCACCTGAAAGCCCCAAGAAGCGCCGTCAGCCAGAATAATCCGGCGACTGTGCCGCGAGATGATTGTAGGGCTCGTGACCGGAATTGATCGTCAACTCGAAAGACGTTTAGATCCCCCTTGATAACCGCATATTTCTTACCCCTTTGTCACGCTCCGCCATCCCTTACAGCAGAGAAAAATATACGTGTCGAATGAAGAGCACAGTGTTGCATAAAACATTTGATATTTATAAACCGCCAAGTATTTGCATCAGAAGTACGACAGGCAACATCATATATGTAAATCAACTTCACCTATATTTTAATGTGTTTTAATGTCGTAAGCATATAGATGTAATAAATAACACTATAAAGCCTCAAAATGTATCCATTCCCAAAATATTCTTCCCTGTGTTACTATTCCAGCTCTAGCTGTAGACAGTACGTCTTTCTGCGCGGCGCAAACCGACGTAATATTTGCTCGCAGAAGGGATGTACCGTGGAGAAATATCCTATGGAGTCGATCAGAAGACGTATCTCCGCAAGAAAATATTTTACGTTGATACGACTTGGCCAGTATCCATTTTCACATTTCGCCGAACGGAAGCTCGCAGTCTGTAAAACCGAGTCGTTCCCTCGGACAGGACACACGTCACGAGTTAGTTAACTTTATTGCGCATTTAAACGTGCCAGACGCTAAAGAGATTTAAAGTGATTTTCCACCCCACGCCAGATCCGTTTTCGACCGCGATTTATAGAGAATGAAACTAAAACTCGGGGCGACCGAGCGTTAAATTAAAAAAAAATGAAATGTCGCATTAATATTAATGGCCATAAACATTGAAAATTCCCATGGCAAATTTGCTTCTGTCGAACTGAAACGCCCCCGTACATTTAATGTACAAGCAACGTCTATAAACATAGAGTATTTTGCAAACGGCAGAATGAAATATTTGTAATGAATTCGTATGTATGTACGTTGGAAGAAGCACCGAGAAATTTGCATAGGAAATGAAGGTAAAAATTTTTCTGGAGAAACTCGCAGCACGGAATGCTGGAAAATAGGGAGGAAGAACGACCGGAGGAAACCAAATGTAATTAACTCTTTTATTTCAAATGGCAGCGTCTTTCAGCATATCTGGCGTTTTCTTTGTCATCTCGGCTATCTCAGTTATCTTCGCTTTCTTTTATTGCAAATTAATTACTGCGTATCAATCAGAGACACATTTTTATTTACGCGCATGCTTTTGCAAAGCAAACAAATATGCGTGTGTTACACACGTTTTACGTAATAAGTAAAATTAAATATGAATTCTAGATGTTTAATTTCATTAGTTTCATAAAGAGAACATAATATCTGACCGATAAAACCAGACGCATTTCGTGTCGAATGCGCGACATGAATGCCAATTTAATACTTTTGCATTATAAATTACATATTATTTGCATTTTTTAATTAAAATCTTAATATATAAGCCACGTATCGTGCACTTTAATACCGGCGCACTTTTAAAATTACAACACCACTTTTTGTAACGTCTCGGAGCAAGCAAATCGATTTATTCGTCAGCAATAATTCGTTATTTACGTACAGAACGCTAACAGGCCAGAATCTTTTATCTTAACGAGAAAATATTTTATGTGTCACCTGGATGGTCGATACCCATTAACCTGTAATTTTAATAAAGCTGTACTTTACAAAATGGCGCAACATGGAAAGCGTCGTTAATATAATATATATCGTTGCAAGCGTTATCGCGTATTCTATATACGTTCTGCATGAAAAGATTTAAAATAATCCCTTCGCGAGAAAGCACGAGACCGACACAGCGAGAGGTTACGAGGAACCCTAAATTCAGTCCGAAGTAGTACGCCGGACTCGAAGAACATAAATATTAAAAGCACCTGGGGGAGGTTCATACGTACGCAGTATTTCCCAACTGGATGCGCTTCTTGAAATCTCCAAAGAATATTAGATGATAATATCATTTATAAGATAATAGAAACGAAGATTTGAAAAACTCGTAGCTCTTTATCTCTCGTCATATTTTTTAAACGTAGAAATTTTACGAAAATTAAAAGATTACGCTACTGTAACTTGATTAGTTGATTATATTCAAGAACAGGAACGTAGCTAGAGAATTTTTTGGAGGGTGGCCATACAGAAAAACTCTTAAAATAAGTCGAGGGGGTTGTTATGTTAGTCCCGCATTTATATTGGTTAATTTAATTACCTGATTAAGATTTGCGTTGACCACTAGCCCAATTCCATTAACTATTAACCCAATTATTACTTAATCGAAGTACACTCAGCAATTTTTTCTCCTTGAGACACTCAGTAAGAAAAAATCAGACACATTAAATCATTTTTTATTAAAATTGTATTATTAAAAAATTTGTCAAAGTAAAAAAGACTTTCTGTACGTCTTCTGCAAAAATGTATTTCTTCTTTCTTCTTTCCAAATTTAGGGGGAACATCCTCCCGCTTTCCCCTGGCTACGCACATAAACATGCGCTTTTATTATTTAATTTTTCATGAACTTTCATGAACTTTTATGCTGCAATATCATTATCCTCAAATTTCGAGACACCCAGT